TTCTACACATTAATATCTGATTTGTAAAACATCACAGACAGAAAGGTATATCCGTCATTTAATGGTAAGCTATTGAAATTGTGATTCCATAGATGTGTCTCCCATCACCCAAATCCCCTGACTATTCTCTCAACTCAGTATTTACATTCTTATATTCAAAGAAAATCAGTAATATCTTTAAAAAAACATGCATTGCGGCTAAAACATCCAATCAGCGAGCTGAGGATCTTTCCTACGTCTGTTTATGGTATTGTTCCTGTAATGAGAGTTCACATTTATGTTACATTGAAGGGTGGAATTGACTACACATTTTCAGAAACATAATTTGCTTCAGATATAACTCATAGCAAATAAAGTATAAAAATATAAGTAATAAAAAGATAAAACACTGGCATATAATTTACGTTAGAATAAATAGAATGGTTTTGAATAATAGATGAGTAAAATCTACGTCACTTTTTTTGTATGAATTTATGTTTTCATCCAATCACAGAGCTTGTTGACTCTGACAAGGTTTGTCAAAGCGGACAGGCGTCGTCACAACAATAGCTGGGGATTGTGGGTAGTGTAGTCTCTTTGGCGCTCCACATTTCAGAGAAAACAAGTTGTTTCTCAGAATTGAAGGGGAAAAACACAAAAGCATTGTCCACAATTTAAACCTATCAATGTCGTTTAATTAACAAAGGTAATTGGTGTTTTTGAGCTGATGAGTAGTGGAGATATCACTGTCAAATCAATCGACAGTATGGAGAATACTTACTTCCGGGTGTATAATTCTCCGTTATCCAATGGGAATGGACGCTCACATTGCCTTTAAGAGCTGCCGACATAAATGGATGCGGTGCTTCCATGAGCGTCAAATACTGCCGCCGATGGGAATACATTGCAATCAGTTGAAAGCTCTTTGCGTCCGTTTATGAAGCTGAAGGAGCCTCGGCGTGTCCCAACTGGACGCCATGGGACCCTGACCAAGCGTCGCTCCTGGACGCTTAGGGAGTGAGAGTGTGTTGACCTGGGGGGCGCAGGGGGGGCCTTGTCTCTACATTACAATAACAAATAATTGATTAATAAATTTTAATACAAATTCAAGTTAGTAGCTAATAAAGGCATAAAAAGACAGAAATGTATAATTCTTTCTTTAATAGAAATGTTTCTTCTGCCTGTAAAGTGTCCAAACCAGGCTTTTCTGGATAAGCGCATTTTTAAAACATAGTCATTGTCCATGCCGGTTTCAGTTGGATTATTTGTTGCTCCGATCAGATCGGTCTCCTCCATTTTGTAGATTATTTATGACTTTTGAATCCACATAAATACACATCGGCAAAATCCGGCTTACTTTGAGCATGTGTTTTAAACAGTTTAATCCCTTTGTGAATTGTTTCCACTTGCGCCGTCCTTCCATTTCTTCATACAGCGGGAATCCAAATGAATTAATCCTGAGTCCAATAACCATCAAAGTCACTCCAATAGTGCTCCTTAATTACGCTTTCATCCTCCTTTAACAAAATACTTCACATTCATCCAGTTTGTGACAGTAGTTGTAGCATTTTTTAGACTTGTAATTACTGCTGTTGCCCCCCCCCCCCCCCTTGTGTGTGTGTGGTGGGGGGGAAGGGCTCTTGGGAAAAAGGTTGGGAACCCCTGTTCTAAGGGACATGTTGATGTGGGAATGGGTTGACAGCATGTCGAGGATAACATCGTATGTATATCAATCACTCAATCAATGTTTATTTATATAGCCCAATATCACAAATGTTACATTTGTCTCAGTGGACTTCACAGTTTGTACAGAATATCAGTATGACAATACGACACCCTCTGTCCTTAGACCCTCACATCGTACAAGGAAAAACTTCCGGAGAAAACCCACAGTTTAAAGGGAAAAATGGGAGAAACCTCAGGGAGAGCAACAGAGGAGGGATCCCTCTCCCAGGACGGACAGACGTGCAATAGATGCCGTGTGTAAATTGAAAAGATAATACATTTGCAACATAGGTAGTCCAAATGTTTGGAAATGCATGTGTGTATAATAAGAAGATGAATCCACGAGGATATCCATCCAGGATTTATGATCCAGGACCACAGCCACGACTCAAGATCCAGGGCTCGCGATCCAGGACACAGGACCGCAGGATCATCCATGACTCCGGATCCCGGCGTATATAGACACCAAAAAGAAATACATTTGGGGAAGCTGGGTTAATCGGAACATGAGAGTACACAGGTATAGACAGAGAGAAGGAAGAAGTAAGATGTCCCCCAACAAACTAAGCCTAGATCAGCAAAACTAGGGGCTGAATCTAATCAGCCCTAACTATAAACTTTATCATAAAGGAAGGTCTTAAGCGCACTCTTAAAAACGGATAGGGTGTCTGCCGCCCGAACACAAACTGGAAGCTGATTCCACAAATGTGGAGCTTGATAAGAAAAGGCTCTGGCTCCCATTGTACTTTTAGAGACTCTAGGAACAACCAACAACCCTGCATTCTTGGAACCTAATGCCCTAGTAGGACAGTAGGGTATAATGAGTTATTTAAGGTAAGATGGCGCCTGCCCATTAAGGGCTTTGTAGGCGAGAAGAAGAATTTTAAATTCTATCCTGTGTTCTATAGGGAGCCAGTGTAAGGCAGCCAGAACAGGAGAAATGTGGTCCCTTTTCCTAACTCTGGTTAGTACACGAGCTGCAGCATTTTGAATCAGCTGAAGCGACTTGACTGACTTCTTGGTACACCCTGATAATAAGGAGTTACAATAATCCAGCCTTGAAGTAACAAATGCATGGACTAGTTTCTCTGCATCGTTTTGAGGCAAGATATGCCTGATCTTTGCAATGTTACGTAGATGGAAGTAGGCGGTCCTTGCAATTGATTTTATGTGGGCGTTAAAGGATAAATCCTGATCAAATATAACACCAAGATTCCTTACAGTCTCACTGGAGGCCAAATGAATTCCATCCATAGTTAGTATATCTTTAGATAATTTGTTTCGTAGATTCTTCGTTAAAATATTCCCTCATGTCATGCTTTTCCGGTTATTACCCATCCCCTTGTGTTTTATGAAGGTTTTTATGCATGTAAAGTTAAGGAATACCCTTTGCGTAAAATCTGAAATGCTGTGGCGTTTTCTGAAATGCTGTAGTGTTTTTTGAAATGTTGTTGTGTTTTATGAAATGCTGTAGTGTTTTGTGAAAGGTTGTTTTTTGACTTACACTTCAGGGCCACCGTAGTTTGCACCCCTAGCAGCTACAGTTGTTTGTTTACAGGTTAATCAAACGTTTCTATCTGTCAGCCATGAAGGCTGTAATGTGCTGGTCAACATCCGGCCCACTAAACTAGTGTATCTCAGTGCAAAAAAGTGTTATTTTTGTTGTTTCGTTTTTAAAATCAGTCAAATGCATGGGTAATTAAAGGACTCACTAGTTCTACTCACAGGCTCTGCTAAAGTCATCATTCCTGAGCATGTTAAGGCCAAGTTTCTCTGCAGTCTTGGAGTACAACTGCCGGCATAAAACATTCAGGAACGCCTCTCCAGCTCAGGGGTTTGCAACTGAAGCAAAAGTGCCTCATGGTTTTCCGCTCAAGGCGAACCCTGGCATTGTTCTGTTATCTTGAAATCATAGTGGATGTACGTTCTATGCGTGCGTGTGTGTGTGCATGTGTGTTGGGGGATGGGAGGATTCTTACTAGTGAAACTGTGAGATCACTGCTAGGAAAAGTGTGTGAAGAAAAACAGGAGAGACTGAAAAACAGAGGTTGTTGAATGTAGAAAGAAGCTTTTGGGAAAGGAAGAGTGAAGGTGAAGTCATGGACGTTGAAGTTTTATGACGTGTAGAAGCAACACGTTCTCACTCCCAACCCGTCACATGTTGACGGTCGGTCAGGGCCCCTCCCCGTCACTCTATTGAGAACGTGTTGGTAGAAGTGAACTACGAACCCTGTGTGGTTTACACACACAGCAACACTCAGCACAAACACTTGGTTGTGAGCAAACTCATTACTTTTTTTATTGAATAAGCTAAAGAAGCTCATTGTTTTTGCTGTAATCACGACAGACAGCTTTAACAGCAGTATAGTTTAATTAAGTGATGTATGTTTACACGATTGTCCCAAAAGAGCACCGCACAGACCGACCCAGCCCTTTCAGAGAATGCGTTCTCTCGTCTTTGGTCCTCGTCATGAGCGACAGGAGCTTTGTGCTGCGTTAGACATTCCTTTAGCTGCAGCTCTCGGTGAGGAATGTGACTGTCAAGCGGTCAGCATAGTGGAAGTGGCTTGGATGTCTTTTGGGCCAAACAGCTCAAGCTTCAAGTCAGAATCTGCAACCTGATTACAGACATGTTGTCAAAAAGTGTAGCTTACTGTTTCGTAGACTGACAAATCATTATTAACATTTAAAATCAATCCCACGAGCAGGGAAAGTTTTTCATCTCTCCAAACATAAGCAGAGAAAATAATAGTTTTTCCTTTCCCCCTCCCCAACATGCTCCCACACCCCTTTCTCTGTACCATCCAACTTATATACTAACTTATACTTAACTATATATATATACTTTTTTTATAAATTCATGTTTACATTCATTAAACAGTATTCATTTGTGGGCCGCCGTATAGCTCCCCTGGTAGAGCTGGTGGTCCATGTATCGGGACTCGGTTCCCGTGTGGAGGACCCAGGTTGGAACCTTTTAAGCATGTCATCCCCTCTGTCTCCCCCTTTCAACACTGTCAAGTCCAATAAAGGCTAATCAGGCCCAAAAATAATAATTTGCAAGTCTACCACGCATTTATACTGTTTATTGTATTTATTTCAATATTGCAGCCCTATGTTTCAACTTTCATTGTTTTTTGTCTTAGATTCTAATTTTGCTTTGACTTTTTAGACTCCATTAATTACGGTGACAACTTAAAGTAACACTGAGAACATCATCCTGTTTTTATTTTTTACCATACTTGTCAAGGTGATAATGTGCTGAAAGTTACTATGTAACCTTTTTTATTTTGCAGATGGAAGGTAATAAAAGAAAACAGAAAATGTAAGAATGTGCTGAAGAAAGGAGAAAGAAAATCATGGGTGAGTGAAAAGGATTGTGTATAAAATGAAAGAGGTCAAGTGGGAAACACACATGTATTACTCACCTTGCATTGTCTCTCATGTATATTTGGCATGTTTTAATTTCATTGGTCATTCTCATTTACCTTAGTTCAGGTGCAGCAGACAGCGGTTTTCAGCAGAAATGCTTTGACAGTATAGTATTGCTCTGATGAACTGTATTAAACTCGCCAAACAACTGACAAATAAGTAGATTACAGTAGCTGGTTAAAAAAAAAAACATACAGTGGGGCAAAAAAGTATTTAGTCAGCCACAGTGGCGAGCCGTGACTTTTATACCTAGGCCCTCTGACCCCCCCCCCTTCCCTCGAAAAAAAAAGAAGAGTTATTACGTCACAGCGTATACTTCAGCGGAATATCAAAACAGCGGCCCGGGGTGCAAAACGCATCAATGACAGCGACCCTCTGCCACACAAAACAACACCATTTATATAAACATCTATGATGACAGATAGATGTAATTGTTACAGCCAAGTAACAATTACAAATGAATTAAGTCGGCACGGCGGCCCACATTGAAAATGACTTAGGCCTACCTTTGATGATCAAATCACTTAAACACAAAGTCCATCCTCCTGTCCTTTTGGATGAAGCACTTGATGGCGGGGTCATGCAGCTGATCCTTTGCCACTCCAGTTTATCATTGTAACTCAATCTTGAAAATGACTCGGTTAATAATTTCGCAACGATGTCATCACTATCACTGAAGTGAGCCATCATGAACGAACTTATGCTAATCATAAATCTATCGACCATAAATCTATCGATTAGATTTATGATTCGAAAATAATAAAAGTAGGGTAGACATGTGGATATTATCCGGCTGAACAAAACGTGCATTTATCTAACAGGTTCGTTTTCCACAGACCTTATTTCGAGCTATTTTCCAAAATCCTATGGAGAAATCCCATTGCTTTCTGTCGAGAGAATCCGAGCGCAGCTTATTTTCGGGTTTTAGGATGCGTCACTGCACCACTTGCATAGACTTCACAGCGGGCGGAACTTGACATAAAGTCCGCGAAAATAAAGCCCGCCCATTTACAGGGAAGATATGATTGGTCAATTGTACTGTCATTTGACTTTACTCTCTCGTTGAGTTACTATAGCTGGCCCTCTGTGAATGTAGAGAGGGACCAACAAGCCCTCCCGTCTTCACATAACTCGCAGAGACGGCATTTAACCCTTCACATTCCAACAGAAACTGAACAGGCAGATTCGAAGGATTTATTTCTTTGGAAATGTTATTTTAAATACAATTAAATCAAGTTATTTAGGTAAAACTAATTAAACATTTAACAACAAAAAAATATAATTATGTTTTCAAATATTATTTTTTAGAATATCTTAGGGCCTCGCAGAGGGCCTAGAGGGCCCTGACGGCTCGCCACTGGTCAGCCACCAATTGTGCAAGTTCTCCCACTTAAAAAGATGAGAGAGGCCTGTAATATTCATCCTAGGTACACTTCAACTACAGTATGAGAGACAGAATGGGGGGGAAAGAATCCAGGAAATCACATTGTAGGATTTTTAATGAATTAATTGGTAAATTCCTCGGTAAAATAAGTATTTGGTCACCTACAAACAAACAACATTTTTGGCTCTCACAGACCTGTAACTTCTTCTTTAAGAGCCTCCTTTGTCCTCCACTCGTTAACTGTAAAAGACACCTGTCCACAACCTCAAACAGTCACACTCCAAACTCCACTATGGCCAAGACCAAAGAGCTGTCAAAGGACACCAGAAACACAATTGTAGACCTGCACCAGGCTGGGAAGACTGAATCTCCAATAGGTAAGCAGCTTGGTGTGAAGAAATCAACTGTGGGAGCAATTATTAGAAAATGGAAGACATACAAGACCACTGATAATCTCCCTTGATCTGGGGCTCCACGCAAGATCTCACCCCGTGGGGTCAAAATGATGACAAGAACGGTGAGCAAAAATCCCAGAAACACACGGGGGGACCTAGTCAATGACCTGCAGAGAGCTGGGACCAAAGTAACAAAGGCTACCATCAGTAACACACTACGCCGCCAGGGACTCAAATCCTGCAGAGCCAGACGTGTCCCCCTGCTTAAGCCAGTACATGTCCAGGCCCATCTGAAGTTTGCTAGAGAGCATTTAGATGATCCAGAAGAGGATTGGGAGAATGTCATATGGTCAGATGAAACCAAAATAGAACTTTTTGGTAAAAACTCAACTAGACGTGTTTGGAGGAGAAAGAATGCTGAGTTGCATCCAAAGAACACCATACCTACTGTGAAACATGGGGGTGGAAACATCATGCTTTGGGGCTGTTTTTCTGCAAAGGGACCAGGACGACTGATCCGTGTAAAGGAAAGAATGAATGGGGCCATGTATCGTGAGATTTTGAGTGACAACCTCCTTCCATCAGCAAGGGCATTGAAGATGAAACGTGGCTGGGTCTTTCAGCATGACAATGATCCCAAACACACCGCCCGGGCAACGAAGGAGTGGCTTCGTAAGAACCATTTCAAGGTCCTGGAGTGGCCTAGCCAGTCCCCAGATCTCAACCCCATAGAAAATCTTTGGAGGGAGTTGAAAGTCCGTGTTGCCCAGCGACAGCCCCAAAACATCACTGCTCTAGAGGAGATCTGCATGGAGGAATGGGCCAAAATACCAGCAACAGTGTGTGAAAACCTTGTGAAGACTTACAGAAAACGTTTGACCTCTGTCATTGCCAACAAAGGGTATATAACAAAGTATTGAGATGAACTTTTGATATTGACCAAATACTTATTTTCCACCATAATTTGCAAATAAATTCTTTAAAAATCAGACAATGTGATTTTTTTTCCCCTCATTTTGTCTCTCATAGTTGAGGTATACCTAGGATGAAAATTACAGGCCTCTCTCATCTTTTTAAGTGGGAGAACTTGCACAATTGGTGGCTGACTAAATACTTTTTTGCCCCACTGTATATAAATTGTAATTCCTAATAATGCATGCTGCTCAAGTATTGACAGTGACTTTTTTATTTCAACAGGGACAGTGTTTATTAATATACATTTCAGTTAATGTGTCAGAGTTAGCCAAGAGGATATTTTTCCTCTGTTGTCCCTGGACAGATGTTGTAAGTCACCCTAAAAACACATTTAATTTAAAGTGGACCTATCATGCTATATTTGAATAATATAGTGTAGGACCATACCTATATAAGGCATATTTATACTTTTTATTTTTCAAAATACCAAACAGATCATGCATTTTAGCCATTCCTCATTTCGCTCAATTTAACACTGGCTGTGTCTCAATTCAGGGGTTGCATCCTTCGAAGGGTGCATTCGTAGACCGCACACGTCACTTCCGCCGAAAGAAGGCTGTCCCAATTTAAAAAAAAGACGAGACTCCTCCGAATGCGGCCCACGAATGCAGCCTACTTTTCCCCAATTTGAAGGATACGATGTACACTCCGTGGCCTACCATATCCCAGGGTGCAATGCGCGCAGGGCAGAGGGAGTTTTTTTCAAATGAAATGGCTTCCGGTCTCCCCAGCAGAGTGGATTTAAAAGCAGCAGCAAGTGGAGGAATCACTAATAAATGTGAGTATTGGGTTTTAACTTACTTTAAATTAACTAACTTCACGTCAAACCCAAGGGGCATTAAAACGTACATTTTCGTTAAATAATACGGATAAATATGTGACGCTAACTAGCTAGCTGGACGTACTGCACTGTTGTTTACAGTTAATTTTAATTCAATTCAGAAGTTTACTAAAGTCATACAGAGATCTTGGCTCTGTTAGATAAGTTATACTTTATATTACATAAACAGACCAAAGTGAAAACATTTACACCGGTATAGCCTACAGTACGGTGGGATTTACAAAATGCTACCCTGACGTGTAGCTGCTGTTTGCTTTATTTATTTCTCTGACATGTTCCAATTTTGTACTGTTTATTAAACTTCGGGACAAAATTACAGCCTTTGTATTCAGCTCATGCTGCTTTGAGGTAGGGCTAAAAGAAAAGCCTATTTTAAATATGTCCACCAGATTTGATCATCTTTTATTTAGGTTAAATTGTATTTAATTTATCCTAATCCCATAATAATAATAATAATAATAATAAGACAATCACAAATAGACAGCAGCCTTTTGCTTGATGTTAGTTTGTGCCGTGCTGTCAAAGGGATGCAGGTGTGACTGTAATTTCATCTCTTTAGTTTTTTTAAACCAGAACAGTACATCATTTTAAATGATTAAATGATTTAAAGGATTGTTTGTCTGAAATGCTTAGAGTTACATTTTGCAATAATACTTTTGCAACCCTGTGTTTAATATGATTAATTCACTTTTTGCTCTTTCTCTGTAATTAGGACAATTCTGGAGAAATGGATCTGCTGGAGAAGGACCCCCAATCTGAAAAGTGCACAGCGGATCATCAGGACAGAGCTGCCATCCACCTGGACCCCCCGATGTGCTGAAGAAGGACCCCTAACCCCAGTGGATCATCAGGACAGAGCTGCCATCCACCTGGACCCCCCGAGGTGCTGAAGAAAGCAAAACGGCCATCAGGAACATCCTCCACCCAGACCTCTGCTTACTGCCGTCCTACAGACTTGTGTCTTAGTTTCAGAATTTGATTTTGTATGTGTCCTTTCTTTTAATAGATATTTAACGATTATAGCTTAAGTCTGTCTGATTCCCCAAACAGCTGCTTCTATATACTTGCTGCACATATAATACAAATAAACAACTCAGCTGATCTGGTGTCAGTGGGACATCATCTGGGCAGGGTTAGGGGAAGAAGGAGAATATAAACTGTTATGATCACAGCTATTAAGATTAGAACACTAATATTGTTAACAATCAATCTATACAACATGCTTTTGTTCATTTAAAAAACATATTGTTTTATTAGTACAGAAAAATTGAGACTTATTTTAAATATGAAATAATATGATTAAATTACATCAGCTATATTTAATTAATGTGTTAACTTACTAATGTAACATTACTGGGGGCTAAAGGAACAGCTTCATCTTATTTACCTGGCCATGGTTCTCTTTATTTCATCGCCGACGTTGATCTCCAAAAAATGTAAAAGTAAAGTTTCTGGATCCTTTTCAGCTAATTTGCTAGCAGGCTACTGGAGCAACGCAACCGAACAGCGCGTATCACGTGACTTAAATACGAAGCGCTCCGTAGGCTAGACCGTCTCATTTCGTAGGCCGCTCGGTCCAGCCTACCCGGTCTACGTGGGCTGGGTCCTCCATGGACCGCGTAGGCTGCGTACTCCGAAGGGTCTAGCCCCTGAATTGAGACACGGCCACTGTCTTTGCATGGGCTGATTCTGTGAGAACAGCACCATCTACAGGCCTGGCATATGTACTACAGCGTCTCCAGCGCTTTCGAACGGCAATGTCCGTGGCTGTCTCCTCCTGATTGGTGGAGTTGGCCCAATAGCCGTAGCGCCACTTCTGTGACGTCAGATAAGTGTTCAAATCTGGATCAGTCTGTATCTGATCCGTTGCAGCCCCTTTTTAAGAGATTTGGGTATGGAGGAAAATAGAGAGGGTTGTGTTTTCTGACACTTGGTGAGTTCCCTGGAAAACCGGGGACACATATTAATGTATTAAAAAAAGTACAAAAGTGCATTTTGCACGATAGGTCACCTTTAAAATAAAAAGTAAAAACAATCAGAAAAAACATGCAACATACAATACTGTAAATGCTAATGAAACAAATTAAACAAAACATAAATAGCAGGAAAATAGCAACAGGTTAAGGCACAGACAGTACAGACAGACAGAAGTTGTAAAGAGCAGTAGATTATTTCAGTGTTGACAGAGCTGAGACCTCACTAACTATGTTTTTATTTTTTTATTTTGTTCTCTGATTGTTGCTGGGTTCCATTTGTGCAGCTTTAACAAAAAATGTAGGTTGACTACCTTTCCTGGAGTGGAATAATGCAATCTTTATATCTCTCATCTTGAGCCAATTGCATTCTGTAGGTGTTGCGCAAGCAGGTGTATTTGTCAGGGTTTGAGTTTTTGTGTGTCTAGTTTTGGGGTTATTTTGCTGTTATGTCCTCCCTATCGTTAGTTTCCCTGGTGTGTCTAATTGTCTGATTGTGTTCACCTGTTGCCCTTGTGTTTCTCCTCCCCTGCCCGGCTCTTTCTCGTCTCGTGATTACCCCTCCCTGTATTTAGTCTTGTCTCTTCCTGTGTTCAGTGTTGGTTCGTTATTTGTCGTTCATGTCCCCCTTCATGCAGGGGCGGTTCTAGGGGGGCAGGGGGGGCCAGTGCCTTTTTTTTTTTTTTTTTTAAATGTATATTTTCTGGTACTCGGTTTGCCAAAAAACGCAGGATTTTGTTGCTGTAATGTGAGATTGTGCAGACACCCTTATGTAAAGTAGAGATGTAACTGTTCATTGCCTTTATTTTTATATAAATATGGTGTTAGTGCAAACATTGCACTATAACTTAAGCTGAAGCTAACAGTAATAACTATAAGATCTATCTGAAATAAATAAGTGTACTGAAACAAATACCAATAACTGTATTGCATTGTTTTCTTATGCGCAATTACTTCATACTGTCTAGTTCTCTTTTTCGTCCTGCATTTATTGTGCCCCCCTCAGAAAATAACTGGCCCCCCAGTGGCCCCCCCAGTCAAATTGGTCTAGAACTGCCACTGCCTTCATGTTGGTCACAGTCACCTTTGTTTGGATGCTACCTCGTACCTGTTTTTGGATTCTTGTTTTTGTTCAGCTTTTGTTTAATAAAGCTCGCCTTTTGCTTCTTTTTGAAACCTGCTTCCTCCTCAATCTGCATTTGGGTCCTATTTTTCCCCAACCCTGACAGAATTATTATTATTATTATAATAAAACACATTCATGTTTAGAACTTTTTAAGTGAATAATGATACATAAATAGTTTTGTATAATTAAATAGAGAAATACCTGGTTTTAAATAAAGATACTGAGCCCTCAACAGTGTATCGAAACTGACAATTGCTCGAGACTAATGGTGTGAATTAGGAAACCAGGTGGCTAGAAGCTAGGGCCATGTGTATCTGATCAACCCAGCCTGCAGAGACTTGCTATAAGGGAACTAAGTCCCTATACATCTGGCCAAGTCAACGTCTTGATCTGACTAGGTCACAAAGCCCTGATAGCTGTATGGTATAAAGAAGAATGTTTGAGCACTCATCACAGAATTGAGAACGTGAGATACAGGGAGATTACACACACCTTCACAGGATTTGTTGACAAATGTCCCTTTTTAATCTGTCTGCTAAACGATTATCTACCAATCGGAGGGTTAGTTGTTCTATCCCCAGCCCCTGCCTTCAACATGTCAAAATGTCCTTGGGCAAGACACTTAACCCACAATTGTATGTTTACGGTATAAAAGTGTTTTTAAGTCACTTTGGATAAAAGTTTTAGCTACATGGCATGTTAATCAAATTAAAATGTGCATTCTGTATATCCCTGAAGTGTGAAAGGGAAATATATTCCTTTCTAATTCTGTTATTTATAAATAAACCTATTAATTTTTTCTGTCTTTCCACTCTATACAGCTGACGAACTCAAGCCGTCACCCAGTGATTGGACTGAATCCGAAGTTAGCACCTGGTTTAGATCCCTTGGAGTGAAGGAGCCGTACATAGAAAAGCTTTATGAGGAAGAAGTAAATGGACAAATCCTTCTTACACTGGATGAGGACTTTTTGAGGACAAAAATTGTCATGAAGTTAGGTCCTGCTCATTTGATAATTCAAAAGAGAAATGAGCTGATCAACTCAAAGCAAAAACCTCAAGAAAAGATTAAGCCAAACCCTGGTAAAAACACGGAGGACAAGCAAAACATTAATCAAAAAGCAGTTCAAGGTCATCCAGAACAGACTTCTGTAAGAAATACAGAGGACTCTGTCGAGAGACAAACTGCTCAGGAGCAATGTGCCCTGACTTCGAAGGAAGACTGCAGACCAAGACCATTCGATCAAGAAGAGATTGATTTCCTATATGTCAAGAATAGAGTCCTGCAACCTGAATCGGGCGCTTTTAATCTAACATCTCCATGCCATGAATTTAAGTCTTTATCTAAAGCCTCTACATTGGATCGCACAAGACTACAAGCTAAATTTGCCAAAGAGGTCCTTAAATTTGCAACTGGCTGTATGAATATCAGAACAAATGGCACAATACACTTTGGCGTAATGGATAGCAAGGAGGATACAGGATACGTGCATGGTGAAATAATTGGTATCGCTGTACAAGAGAAAGACATTTATGTGGATGCTTTGGACTACATTGAGAGGAGTATCTCCTCTGACAAGGAGCATGTACGCCAATGTGTGCGGCCACCAAGGTTCATTGAGGTTTTGGATCGAGAAAGTACAGAGATGAGGTATGTGGTAGAAGTTGACATTGTGCCTTCAATAAGTATTGTTAAGAACAAGGTGTATGTAGTCCGTCTCCCAAACTTCAAAGAGTCAACCAACAAAGTAGAATTTGAGAAAGAAGCAATTCTGCGGAGGGTTGGTTCAAAAACAGAACCAGTGAATGACAAAGACCAAAGTGATTTTTACCAGCGAGTCCGAGATCGGGATGCTCAAAGAGAAGAGGCAGAACAAAATCAGTTCCTCAGCGCCCCAGACTTCTGCCAAGATCTCGGAAGGAAACTCAGAGTGCAAATGACTAGTGGGAAGAAATTCATTGAAAAGGAAAAATGGTTCATATTTGTCACAAACAAATTCAGCCCAAATGACCTTTGTCATATTGATTGGCTGCTTAACATGAACGTGTTCTGTGTGTTTGACTTTGACCCAGACTCAAAGACATCAGGTCTTTGCAGTAAATACCTTCAGCATCACGCTGCAAACATGCATTCTCTGCAGAGCTATAGGTTATCTGGTGACATGAGCATCAAAGAATTCACAAGCCACTTGCATCTGTTTGACCAAACTAGCTGGATCTTTTGTAACGGCAGGTCTGACTTCAAAGGAAATGAAACTCCATGTGATGAGATGACTTGGATAAAGACAAAAATGACTTTCCTGCGGGAATCTGTGTCTTTGATCTGTAAACAAATCTTGCCAAAAGGGACGTTCCAGGTCATTTTTCTTCTCACATCACCAGTAGAGAAACCTCTCTTGCATACATTCTACGAGTTTTTCACAGACATGGAAGGCCATGAAGACATCATCTGCATCTGTGAATCAGAGAAAAACTTCCAGAAGTGGCAAAGCTTTGCAGAAGGGTCATGTGGAACAGAAACTGTGAACAACTCCAGTGTCGTCGGGATGAAGATGAGTCACATTGATTCAACTCTCCAGCAAATACAACCCTTAAACACACTTACCAGCAAACGCTTGCCAGTCTTTGTGAAAGGGACATGTCTTCTTGAAACACTCATAGAGGAACAGATGTATTCCCTGGAAATTCTAACTGTTGATCATTGCAATGAAACAAGCAAAGAATTCATTGATGAAGAAAAAGCAGACATTGAAGGGCTGTTTTACCGTGGTGGGATAGTAAAGTGGTTGAATTTCTGGCTTGCTGAACACAAGTACGTTGGAGAGGTTATTGAAAGAGATGCTTATAAGGATGTTTCCAAACTTCTCAATGACGCTTTGAAACGAAAATTAGATCAGCCTCCGGTGAACAGTATAAACATCTACCATCATCCAGGGAGTGGTGGAAGCACTGTGGCCAGACAAGTACTTGGAACACCAGGAAAGATCTAAGGTGTGCAGTTGTGAAGCCTTCATATGCAGCTGGTCTTGTTGCGCAACATGCAGTTGAGCTAAGAGAATATGAAGAAAAAGATCCACAGACATGTCTTCCTGTGCTACTTCTAATTGAAGACTCAGACAAAGAATATCTAGATGATCTTAGGAATGAATTTGAAGTTGCCACCAACAACAAGAGAATCCAATGTGGAACTCTATGTTTCATTTTGTTGAACTGCAGACGATCCCATGATCCAGAGATTAAGTGCAAGGAGTCTCCATTACAGAATGTGTCTGTCACCCACAAACTGAGTGATCAAGAGAAAAGAAAGTTTGCTGGAAAACGTAAGGTACTTGAAGAACGATATGAGCCTGAATTCATCTTGACATTTGTTCTGATGAGCGAAGGATTCAGTGATGAATATGTTCAACACTTTGTGGAACATTTGCTTCAAGGCATTGACCGCCAGTCTGTGGTCACACGCCTCATTTGCTATGTTGCACTGCTGAACACTTATGTCCAAAACTCCTTCATCTCTCAGTCCCATTGTCAAGCTTTGCTTGCCTTTACCATTCGTTTAGAAAGGTTTCGCCAGCATGGGTTTGAGAAATCACTCAGTGATCAGGCTAAACTAGTCTTCTTGCATCTTAAAGATGAGAAGACACACATTGAATCAATCAGAATCATTCATCCACTGGTTGCAAAGGAAATTCTCCATCAACTTTTGGAGAATCAACAGACCCAAAGCAGTTTAGCAATGGATTTGCTCTGTGAGAGTGTGCTTTTTGAGCACAGATTTGGAAGGGACGAATATCAGTCGTTTTTGAGAGCACTTTTCTTAAGGCGAGCCAGAATAAGCAAAGGGGATAAAACTGATAGTTTTTTTGCTCCTCTGATTGAGCATGTTTGTGAAAAGGAGAAAAGCCCAGACAAGGCAATTGAGTTACTCAAGGAAGCATTCGATTGTTTCCATAAAGATCCATTCTTTGCACAACAACTTGCTCGTCTTCATTATACTTATGAAAAGTTTGAAGATGCAAAACAGTGGGCGGAGACAGCAGCCAAACAGCTGCCAAACAACTGCTACATACTAAACACAAAGGGGCAGGTGTACAAAAAATGGTTCCAAGCTAAATGCAAAGCTATTGACAATAAACCAAAGACAGCAGAACAAATAGCAGATGCTGTGGAGACTGCACTGAATGCTGTGAAGTGTTTTCAAGAGTGTGAAAAAGCAGCTGTTGCTGATAAGGATACCCATAACAGCTCAGGGTTTTTTTCTGAAGTTGAGGTTGCATGCAGCTTGCTCAAACTGATCTCTTCATCGCAAGTGTTTGCCAACAAAGCAAGTCGCCATTCAGAGTGTATGAAGTACCTGTTAACAGATTACATTCCTGAGGAAGTTGAAGAGGCATGGCAACCCTTTCATGTCGGTTTTAAAAAACCTTCACAAGACAACACAAGATGCCTTGGAATGGATCTCAGAAGACCTCAGTTACTTCCAGACGACATAGATTTGGATGGAGAAGAGACCCCTGAATGTCCTGAGGGGATGATAAGTCATCCACTGAAATGGTTGGCAAAAAAAATCTTCAGAGTATGGAAAGTACTTCAGTGAAGCTTATTTTAGTACACTTCAGGGGCAATCAACCCCTGCCAATCTCACTTCTTTCCAAAAACGCATGATCATCTATGAGCTTGGTGGGGGTAACATAACATCTGTCCTCTCCAAGCTAACTGACCAGAGGGAGGCAGTACCTCTTCTAGAGAAAATTGTTTCTCTCTACCCCAGCAATCCAATAAAAGCCAAATTCGGTCAAATGGATATTGTCAATTACATCACGGCCCACATCACTCTGAACTGCCTGTCACCACATAACCAAAATGCAGCTCCTCTGAAAGATCTGCAGGCACTTTGTCATCAGTTCCCAAAAGATAAATGGAAATGTTTACCAAGTGCACTGTTCTGGCTTACATTGCTGTTCTGGCCAGAGGATCATGACACAGATTTGGAGAAAGAAACAAAATATGAGATTGTTCAATCAGCTGTTGAACACCTGGAAAAAGGGTACTGGATCAAGATGAAGGACATTCTTCAGCGAAAGAGAAGGCTTTACACCCATTTTTTTCTTGGCAGTGGGAATGGATTGGATAAATTTGTCCACAAGAAAAAGTTTGAAAGAGTCACAAAGCAGTTCTCTGTGTCTGAAAAACGCATGAAGTGGTTCAGGGGTGAGGCATGGAAAAAGCCTGAGATTGCCACAATGCTGAAACGTGTTTCCGGATGGACTGAAGATGGAGTGGTGTACCTCGAAGGCCCACGGAAAAAGAAGTTCAGTATCTTGCCTCTTCATGTTCCTTCAGTGCCTCACAGTAATGAAAACATCACATTCTACCTGGGGTTTACCTTCCGAGGCCCTGTTGCCTACAACATTGTTGTGCAACAATAATTTGTCAATAAACAATGATCCTGTCATATAGGGCTTGACAGTATATTGCTAAAGCATTTGGCCGAGTATCTTATCTATTCTAACACAAAAAGGCTCTTACCATAGTTTGCCAAGTAGGCAATATTTGTCAAAGACAGCAATTAAACTGTCAAAGGGCAAGGTATATTATTACCAATGGATTTTTTTATTTTCTAAGAAAGTTTAATAATTATTTTTTCTCTCTTATACTTGAGAGAGAACATGTACTACAAAATATGCTCAAGTGGCATTTGATAAAAATGATTTTATATATTGATTGACTCTGGATTCCTGGGGTAATAACAATGCAAACTGTTTTTGCTACTCTACAGCTCAATGCTTCACTAATAGGAACCTGTGGTGGTCCCTGTGTAGACCTGTATCAAGTATCCCATTATTTTCAGATTGTTTGTAGTTCCAGAACTGCAATTCACAACTGGCATCAAGATGTATTTCGAATGCATTTCAAGTGAGGATGTGTGCCTGGATTCAGCTAACTGTATTGCTGCTACACAGAAAAAAGTTAAATTGATGTTCAAAGTGTCAACCTTTCCTCAACATATTGCCTTCTTTATCATGATGGCTTATACTCGCTCTTTTATATTTTTCAGAATACAACCCAGAAAGGGATTAAATGTATCTAATGGGAATTGTATCAGTGTTTTAACAAATCATGTATTAAGGGCAACGGCAGGATTATGTACAGTTGGAAAAGAATGTGTACTCGTATTGATATGCAACAGAAACACATGTATTAAAGTGTAAATATCCCTACCTGTCCTTAAAATGAGCAAGTCCGGCAACAACCTGTACTTGTTTTCCTATATTTTTATATATATTTTTATTTTCTTCTTGTATTAAAAGCGTTGTAGCCTAAAGCACCTACCTGTACTTATATTGAAATGTTTTTTTGTTTTTTGCATTAAATGCTTGGTTTATGATACTGAAGAAATATTTGACTGTTGTGATTGGTGTTCTTCCATACATTTGAAACATTTAGCTGAATACAATAAACGTTTTAACCTTCATTTTTTGTTTTTGCAGTCAATCTTTGAACAACCTTTAAATATCAGACTCATAGTCTTTAACAAGATATTGATTTACCAACTGGCAGACTTTATAAGACAGAATTGTAAGGCCCTATTCACACAAATTGACACTTAATATGAAGAGATTGCACTACTCATTTTCACACTGTCAAAATAACTTGAATATGTTTGGCAACTGCTGCATAGTGTGGAGATAATATAACAAATACGAATAACTCTAGAAAGGGACAAAATTACAACTCTGAAATGTCAACAGTTAAATTAGTTTATATTTTTTCAGTATGGTTAAACCAAAGTTAGTTGGCCATCAATCAATCAATGTTTATGTATATAGCCCAATATCACAAATGTTACATTTGTCTCAGTGGACTTCACAGTTTGTACAGAATATCAGTATGACATTACGACACCCTCTGTCCTTAGACCCTCGCATCGTACAAGGAAACACTTCCAGAGAAAACCCCACAGTTTAAAGGGGGAAATGGGAGAAACCTTATGGGAGAGCAACAGAGGAGGGATCCCTCTCCCAGGACGGACAGACGTGCAATAGATGCCGTGTGTAAATCGAAGAGATAATACATTTTTCAGCGTAGGTAGACCAAATGTTTGGAAATGCATGTGTCTATAATAAGAAGATGAATCCACGAGGATGTCAACAATCCTGTGGGAGCCATCAGGGAAGTAGTATGATGAGTGTGTCAGGCAGGACCGCAGAGACAGGTTCAGCCACGGCTCGAAGTCCAGAAGGTCCAGGCCATATTTGCTAGAGCTTGATTTTGTTTAATTCAGAGTGTTGTCTATTCATCCATTCATTGTGATATTAGTTATGTTGGAGTTAAATTATGTGGCTTTCAAATAACCTGAAACCAAAATGGCTCCCTGATGTTGTAGTAGGCCTTTTCTGTAGTAGACCGTAGACCCGTCTTTGGGACAAATAGTCAGTCAGTACAGAATAAATACATTAGCAATCGAATGAGTATAAAAACAACATCACTTCTTAGATATTTCATAATTAAAGGTGAGTGACATATTAGGATATCAATGAAACATGTCAATGTTATTGGGTAGATTTCAGTAATAAACAGCAAGTCATGGGGTTGTCTATGTAATTGTATTTGACAGTGGTTACCAGATCACATCAAGTGTTTTTGGTTCATCAAACAGTTTTATGAATGACTAAAGGCACATTTTATTTCCGTTTTCATAAGAATCGAATTATTTAAAAAAGTAGGGCTAAATTATAAAGTTGATTCAGACAGCATTTTTTAGATTGATTCAACAACACAAAACGATATTACCAAAATAATAATGAAAATCTACCTACATTAATGTTTTCACTTGGTTCAAATAACTATGGTAGCTTTTGTTGTTCTAGCCTATGCATGTTCTTTCTATGTTTGAAACGTTTTTGTTTTATGTCGCTTTTGTTAATTCACATAAAGATAAAAGCGAAAAAAGTTTCTAGCAGCAGCAGAAGGTTTGGCACTTTTTGTCCTTCTATTCTTGCCGTAGTTATGTTGTAGCCGTGTTTACTCTTCTACAAACATGTTATTTCATTGTAACCAAATTATTTCACAAAAAATACTGCTTGTCCGCTGTCTTGCAAAACAACATGTTTTTGCTACAGGACGAGGACGCGCACGCCGTTTGCTGGGAAGCACATGCTTAATATGAATAGTTCCGACACTGAACTGCTCGATAGATAATTGTTAGCTCACAGCTAACAAATCCAGCTGCCACAGAGCCAATAGCAACAGCTCAACACCCACAAAATGAACACTGTGAGTGTAAGTGATTATCTGCTTTACATTCATGACAGCTGTCTGTGATAGTTACAACTTACTCTACTATTACATATTTACCAGTGGTGCAAAGTGACTGAGTAGATTTACTCAAGTTCTGTACTTCAGTACAATGTTGAGGTTATTGTACTTTACTTAAGTATTTAAATGATTTGCTACTTTTTGTTTCTACCCCACTACAATTCAGAGTCAAATCTTGTACTTTTACTTCACTAGATTAATTTAATACATTTAGTTACAGATTTGGATTGATTTCGTGAAATATAATCAACACTTAAATAACACTTTATTTATACATGGAGTAACATTCACAAGCTACTCTGCAGTATAACAAGTAATTAAAACGAGCTCCACCGCAGCTTTGATAACAATTTAATGCATCAATAATTATAATCAAAACATATGATTTATATTATTCTGAAATGGGCCAATCTGTTTAATGAGTACTTTTACTTTCTGTACTTTAAGTATATTTTGATGCTAATAGTTTTGTACTTTTACTGATATTTTGAATGCAGGACTTTTACTTGTAGTATTCCTACACCCTGGTACTTCTACTTTTACTTAAGTATAAGATCTAAATACTTTTCCCACCTCTGTTATTTACACCATACGGAGCACAAGGTGTGTATAGCAGCAGAGCTCGAGTGCGCTGTCGCCTCACATCTCTGATGAGTATGGGTCTGCTTTCTCACTTTACTGCAGCTGTGCTCCTGCTGCTCTTTGCCTTTTTATGTTTTTACATCAACCACCTGTCTATTCATCAGACCAGACTGGTTAGATCAGTTTCTGCTCAGCACACTGAATCACATACAATACTTGGTTATTATTATCCAGCAAGACCACAGAACAAGTCAGTAGAAACAAGGACTGTTATATCCAGAGCTGATAAATGCACCCTGGCCCCAGAGAGTCGGTTTGACTGTGCCAGGGACAGGCTGCTCAGCAGGAGAGAGTGTGAAGAGAGGGGCTGCTGCTATGCCCCCCTGCCTCACTCTGCAGGACCACCTTGGTGCTTCTACCCCAGTTTGTACCCTGGCTACAAAATGGGTCCCCTCACCCCCACCACACAAGGACAGGAGGCCACCCTGACTCGTGCCACCCCTTCATATCTCCCCAAAGACATTGCCACTCTACACCTTGAAGTGACAGAGGAGGCTGCAGGCTGCTTACACCTCATTGTGAGTACCCAATGTCCATGTAAAACATAAGATGATGGACATGTTGCAGTGCCCACTAGGGTTGATTTTCATTTTAAGTATAGATGACTGTAGGCTAATGTAGTTTGAGTTTAAAAAGGCAACATGGAAAGGGATTTTACTTTTTATTTGCATTACACATATTGTTATGATTTAACAGAATTAATTTTCCATGA